ATCTATGTAGTTAAAAGACTAAGTCTTCCAAAAATGTCAGATATCCTAGGGAAAGCAATTGTATCGTGTTATATGCAGAACTGTAGCGTTATGGTTTAATCTTATTCTTTGACAATTATGGTCAAAGACTAATAAATTAAGCCATAACGCTACGATTCTGCAGCAAGTTATAAGTAGACATCTTTGTATTCATTTGAAGCAGATTTTATTCTACAAACAGTATTAGATTATGAACTTTTGCTGTAATCTCGATCTAGAATCAAGATATATGAACAATGTATTCCCATGGGGTACCATTGTGTACCCGTTTCTGTAGATTCATTAATTTTGGCGAGTACTTATTATCGCGAATGAGCTCTTTAACGTCAAATCGCGAGAATAATTATTAGCGAATGTACGATTGGTCCAGATATTTTACACAGATTTCATCACCATAAAAAGAAAGGCGAGTTATTTTATTTCGCGTGTGGTGCTTCTCGCAAAATTACGCGATAATTACTTCCACGCATATAATTAGGAATCTGCAGTATTAGTAAAGTAGTAGAAGTAATAGTGACAGTTTTTTAACGACACATTAAAACCGCATTTATGTGTCACGTATCAACTTTTTTTTTGCTATTCTGAATTAAATTAGCACAAAAAACCTGTTTTGAATCATTATATGCCCACATATCTAACAAAATTGGAAAATTTGTTATCAATTTAATGAGTGAGTTATACTTACCAGTCATAAATATATATTAGGACATCTTCCCCTTATTAACGTTCATAACTCGCGAGCAAGCGTTTAAAAGAATAAGATTCAAACACTTATAAGACCGGGAACAAATATCTTTGTTCCAAAATGGTTGGGTCTATCTTGCTTCGCCAAACCCTCTCTGATGAAAGTTACTCCTTTTTTCTGAACATTGACAAATCCTTCCCCCTGTCTGAGAGAATGTAGATCACTGCATCTCCTGAAAGTAGTAATAGCTATCAGAAAAACAGTTTTGTATGTCAGATATTTCAATAATGCACTTTTTATAGTTTCAAAAGGAGCAACTTGCAACATATCAAGAACTCTTGGTTAATCCCACTCTGGGACTAACCTAACTTTTGGTGATCTGGAGTTAAAAACTCCTTTGATGAGTCTGATAATGTAAGGATGTTGTCCTACAGAAACATTATCTACTGGAGGAAGTACTGAGGACAACATTGACCTGTAACCTGCAATGGTTCTATACTGAAGACCTTTGGTATACAGATCTGTCAAAAAACTTGCTACTTCAACTAAAGAGGCTGCATAGGGACCAATTTCCCTTGAACTACACCAGCTACTTAACTGTTTGAATTTACAGGAATAATCTTTTTGTGTTCCTGTTCGCCAACTTGCTGCCAAAAGGGTTCTAGTGTCTTTAAATATCCTTTCTTTTTGAAACCTCTGTCGATAGAAGCCATGCAGTTAGTTGAAATACTTCTTGATTTGGATGATAAATTTTTGTGTTTGGTTGTTGAAGTAAATTTGGAATGTTTGGAAGTCTTTTTGGTATTGAGATTGAAAGCTGAAGTAGATCTGTGTACCAAGGTCTCCGTGACCGACAGGGAGCTATCAGAATTACTTGACAATTGAATTGTCTGATGTACTGAAGAACTTTGGGAATTAGACAAATCGGAGGGTAAGCATAAAGAAACATCCCCTCCCAAGATATCGTCAGGGCATCCAATGCATGTGCTTGGCTGTGAGAAAAGCAAGTGCAAAAAATCTGTGTTTGATGATTGTGAATAGATGCAAACATGTCTATCAGAGGTTGACCCCATAACAGAAAAATTCTCTGAACAATTTGTCTCTTCAACGTCCATTCTGTTTGTCTGATCTTGACCCTGCTCAAATGATCTGCCAGAATATTTGATTTTCCTGCTATGTGAGCAGCTTTCAGCTTGATATTGTGACCTATTGCCCAGTTCCACAAACCCCATGTCTGATAACAAAGACGTGGAGATTTGGTTCCTCCCTGTTTGTTGATGTATTGAACCACTGTCGCATTGTTGCATCTGATCAAAACTGTTCTGTTTTGCACTTGTTTTTGAAAATGTTTCAGAGTTAAAAACACTGCTTCCATCTCTATACAATTGATATGAAGAGCTTTGTGACAACTGTCTCAATGTCCTTGAACTATTTGATTGTTTAGGTGACCTTTTTAGGGACAAGAAAAAATGTACTGTAAAAACCTGTTTGACTCTCCTGATTTAAGACAGGCTCTATTGCATTTTTTTCTAATAAATCTTCTACCTCTTTTAACAAACAATGTTTTTTGTATTTGAGGGATTGTTGTTTTCTAAAAACTGGGGCTTTTGAAGAAATTTTAGTTTGTAACCCTCTTTGAGTATTGATAATTTCCAACTGTCTTGAGTTACAATATTCCAATGTTCTACAAAATGTTTGAGACGACCCCCAACTGATATCTCGGGAAGCATTGCAATTTTGGTTACCTGTTCTAATCTCCAGTCATTTACTAGATTTCTTTGGGGTCCGAAAGGAGCCAATTCTGTCTACTCTAGCAGATGTAGACGTATTTCTCGAATTGTCCTCTCTTGGTTTGTAGTCATAAGACCGTCTTGAGAAATTGGGTCTCTGAGTAGATGTTCTGTAACTGTTATTTAAAACAGTAGTTGTTCTGGGTTTTTTAAAATTCCCAGAGTTTTCAGCAGTATTTTCTTAACATTTGCATTTCTGATTTTTTTTCATTCCATTCTGGAATTAAATCCTTAAAAGAATCTTTCTGCTCTTTTCTTTCTTTTAGCTTCTTTTCTAATTTCTTGCCAAAGACGCCATCTTCTGAAAGAGGCAGGCAAATAATTTTGCTATTAATATCCTTCAAGGTATATAATCCAGAGTCGTGTGCTGCAGTTTTCCTTCTTATTAGATGATGAAAAGCCCCTGCTCTCCCCATTTGATCTAGTGCCTTGGTAAACATGGAGAAAATGTCTTTAATTGCTTGAACTGTGTCTGCATCTTGACAAGTTATAGAATCTAACAACGTTCCTAAAGCTTGCTGCTTGTAGCTTAATGAAATAATACCCATACGGGCAGCCATCTGTCCCTGATATACCAAAGTTTCAATACTTTTATAAGGTTGGGAAATGTTTACTTTTCCCCCAACCTTTGGTTTTATTCCCATGTTTTTTTTTTAACATTGGTTCTAAAATGTCATCTAGTCCTGGAACTTGTAGAAATGCTGACGAGTTTGGATGAACAGGGAAACATTGTCTATATTCATCTCTATAAGCAGACAAGCGTTCAGGATCAGTAATTCTCCATGACTTTTTCATGATCTTCTCTTGTGTTTTGTTTCAAAACTAATCCAGTTTTTTTCTTCCTCTGAAGAAGAAACATTGCCAAAAATATCAGTAAGAGTTTTCGTATGTTCGTCACTTTTATTGATCAAGTTCTGAAATCCATTGTTGTTGTTGCTGTCCAACTTATGTTGATTGTTATCAAAATCATGGGCAGCAATAGATTCCTCTTGTACTGAGGATTCGTTATCGTTATCACCCTATAGCTCACGTATTTCTCTGACACTTGGAGCTAAGGATATCATATCGTCCATTTCAGGCACACTTAATGTCCCTTCAATTTGGACTTCACTTTTTTTCTCACGCGTTTTCTTTCTTTTGGCCTCCATTACTGTTTGTAAATTATGGAATTCCGAGCCCGAATTTATTTCGTCGTTCGAAATAATACTGGCTTCTTCCATATTTGAACGTAGAGCATGAGAGAGTATCTTATACAAATACAAAGTATTTGTATCACTCCTTGGCTGAGACAAAAGAAAATCTCTGCCAAAAAAAGTATGAGCTCTGTGTGGCACGCCGGAAGATGAACTGATGTAGGCAAGAGTCTGAGATGTGACCTCGGTCTTATAAGTGTTTGAATCTTATTCTTTTAAACGCTTGCTTGCGAGTTATGAACGTTAATAAGGGGAAGATATCCTAATTTATTATATACCTAATGTGTATCACCCAATTTTACTGTAGATTTAACGCAATCACGTGACGTCGTGATCCGATTTTCCGGATCACCAACATGTTTTTTTCTGAATCCATATCACCTCTCTCTGAAACTGATGACGTAGTACGCAGAAATATGACGTTATTTTTCTTGCGCGTTAAAAAGTCCCTTGTAATTATCCGTTGTTTTATGGATAAATGTTATGCAATTGATCTATAAAGTTTTCTTTTGCTATATTTTGCTAGTTATGAGGGGGTATATAATAAATTTATCATTATAACAGTAACTTGATCCGAAGGGCCGTATCACGTCTCGTTGACAGGCGCGGATCAACAGATCAAACTCGACGCTTCGCGTCTCGTTTGATCTGATGATCCGCGCCTGTCAAACCGACGTGATTCGACCCTTCGGATCAAGTTACTGTTATGATAATATATATGTATATTTATGACTTTATAAACAATGTAGTTACCTGTAAATAACAAGATGTGTTTTTGAAACACTATGTGTCAGGCAGCATTAAAGTTGGAAAAAGATTTTTAAGCATATAGGTCACAGTCAAGGTCATTCTGAAATTTGAAATTTGTAATTTGATAGAGCTTACTTAGTGTAGTAAGCATTCAAAGTATGAAGTCTGGTTCAAAAATTATTGAAAAAGTTCGAAAAAGCTATTTTAAGCATATAGGTCACAGCCAAGGTCATTGACCTTTGTATTTTGAAAGAGCTGAATAAGTGTAGAATGCAAAACAAATATGATCTCTTTAATGGTTTAAAATTTAAGATGAAAGGTCGAAAAAGCTATTTCAGCATACAGGTCACAGTCAAGGTCACAAGGTCATTGACTTTGGTGTCATTTGTAAGGGCTTAATTAGTGTAGTATTCATACTAGATATGAAGTCTCTATCTCTGAAGGTTTAAAAGTTATGGCGAAGGTTAATAATAAAGTTGACTACAGACAGACAAACAGATATTAAACAAACAAACAGATATTTTTTATAACATAAAATATATGTATTACATCCAACATTGGTTTGTGTTGTATTACAAGGGCATTTTTCCTGACATCTGACACCATGGTATCCCTCAGGACATAATTTGCTGCACTCGATTCCGAATGAGTCTATACAAGCTTAATTAAAGGCAAAACAAGTAATTATATTGATAGATTTTCTATATAATAATCATTTTATATAAAATATAATTCGAAGAGATGAGCATCGTTTTTTCTAAATGCTTTATAGTCATGTAATGGAACTGACTCTATTTATTGCAAAAACAATCAATACATTCAATAGAAACATAAAGAAACTCACGGTAACATTTTCCTCCACTTGTTAAGTAGTCAGTGCAACATCGAATAGCTCTTCTGATATACAAAAAATGAATATATTATCCATATTTTTCTGCTTTTTAAAAAAAAAGATACACCGCAGAATATATTATACAAAAGAAACAGATAAATCACTTACGTAAGTGGATCAGAACATTTTGGATCAACAGGAGTTAGCTCATGATAGGTGTACTGAATCAAATAAAGTAACACTGATATTAAGCAGGTAAAATATCCAAAGTAATACATTGTCTCCAATGTTTATGCATAGTGCACATCAAAGTTTCTAGACCTAATTATTCATTTCTCATATTCCTAAAATATGAACCTTATTGCAAGTTGACTACATTATAAATTTGAAATTAGTATTTGGAAACAAATCAGGAAATAAACCCTTTGAAGCCAGGTGTCTAGTTTTGTCAATGACTCTAACGTGAACCTACTTAAAGCAAAATGCTATAAGGAAGAATTATTCCCCATCGCTCACCATATTGTAAGTCAAGATATCATTTTTTTAACTAAGTTAGAGTTGTTCATATAAGCAATGAGGTGTAAAAGCTCTTTTTCCTGATAAAATGTTGATTGTTGATAGGCAATCAATTTTATATGGTAAATTTATAAATAGAAACTTCGAAAAGTTAGAAAATCTTCTAAATCTGATTATAAAACAACATATTTTCGGTACTAAGTATGTTGAAACTGTATAATGAGTAAAGGTCAAAATTCGAAATCCTTCACCGGTTAATGGTGACCTCTCTATATGAGTAAAAATTTCTAGAATGGGCGTAGACAAACATGCCGTTATTCAATCAATATATGATATAGTTTACATGAGCATATAAAATAGGAAATGAAAGCACCGATTCTCTACTTTATTTTATAATGTTTAAAATTGAACATAAAATCTTAATCAGTAAATTGGTATATCTAATAGCTAATTTTTGCATAAAGTAAACGAAGCTCTTTTTCTTTTTCCGATGAGTACGTAAATGCAGTTGTACCTTGTTGTAAAATAAACATCTATCATTGTAACTTCCACCCGAATAGGGCAACGTCATCCCTTTGTCATGAGTCTGATAGTGTATAGTTTAGCTTTTAAATTCGACATTGATCTAAATAAATAACTAGTGCTAATTGTAACGGGGACCGTTACGGATGTTCCCCAAACGCTCCCCAAATCCCTTTCTGTGCCTAATTCCTGTAAGATATTTTAAAAAATATGATTAGTATCGAAGGATTTCATCAAAGAATTATAAAAGCTACAATGATATAAAATATATGTCAATTAACGCATTGTATGCGCAGGCACGTGCATGTACATGCAAGATGATCATGGCATGTTGTCCATACAATTAACATATCTATATATCGTGAGAATAAATGAAAAAAAATTTTTACAATATACATTTTAATGTTTTTTTTAAATATTGGCCATTTTGCGTATTTCGTGCGTGCACGTGCATGAATGCATGTTCGTGCATTCAATTTTATAGTAACATTATGTAGGAATACATTATACCTAGTCATATTATAAATTTTATCCCGTTTCGCTGAAAACTAAGAAAGTTATAGACATTTAAATTTTCAGCCAATCAGATTGCAGCACACGTGCATGCGTATGCTTTTCATGATAATTCTTATATACCATGCAGTAGATCTTTATAATGTCTAGCCATGTTCAAAATTTCAAAGGATTTTGTCGAAAAATAAGAAAGATATTGAGACTTTAGTTTCAGCCAATCAGAGCAAAGCGCACGTGCATGCGCGTGAGATCTTCCTATTTTCACCATGTCATCTTGTCTATACTACTAATATATCCTTACTTTATGAGTTTCAAAGCATTTCATCAAGAAATAGAAAAGTTAAGGCAATATACATTATATTGGCCATTTAACGTGTTGCACGTGCTCGCTCTTGCAAGCACGTGCGCGCAAAATGACCTTGATTCCGCAAATCTACATAACATGTCTACTAACCCTAAAAAGTTTTTACTTACTTCGGGTGAACAGTTTACAAGATCACTCGCGGACAAAAAAGTACCCAGGAAGAAGAAGAAAAATAATAATAATAAGAAACAGAGTAAAAACAATATGTTCCCCAACTTCGTTTGGGGAACATAATTACGAATCTTTTCATTTTTGTCTTTTCAATAAACTTTTCATTATTGTGCCAATAGAGTTTGACAATAAGCAAGTACCGTACCTCTCATTTGGTTCAATGTCTTGCACATGACGTTTAAAACTTTTATTGACTTAACTAATTAGCTACCAAGGAAAAGTGTTGGAAATTACAACCTGTGATTTATTTTTACAAACCCCCCCCCCCCCCCCCGAAACAATTCAACAAAAATTAAAAGGTCATTAACAAAGGTCATTAACAAAGACTCCCTGAAAAGTTCTAGAAGTGGAACTAAGTGCAAACTAACATTTCTTGTTTCGTTTAGGTTTAAGGATATCTTCCTACACAAGAAACTTTAAGTTTTCATCGGTGCTTAAATTAGAAATGAGATTTTTTTTGTCTATTTCTATATAATTCTATAAAACGTTTGCAAACATTTTAACCTTTTAAGTCTTTATATTTCTTCCACTTTGCAATTGTAAACCATTATTCATATTAATCAGTATTTAAATATAAATTTATGAGAAATACCACTGATTTCTAAAACAATATTATCACAGATAATTCAATTTATGCCGCTATGAGAAATATATTATATTTTACACCTAAGGATAATTCTGCATATCCCTGCGCAGTCTGCAGGATATGCGCCCTCATCGCAGCGCAATTATCATAGAACCTTTCATTGCGAAATTGCACCTTATTTTGCTTGACAGAGTTATCCAATCAAAATCCTTGATTTTGTTGCGCCATTTTTGTTAGCCTGGCAGTGCATTGAAGAAAAAAAAATGTTTATGCAAAAAGGGACCTGTGTACATGTGGTTTAAGATCAATTATTGGTCATCTTCTTAGGGGAGAATCATCGGTGCCTGTAATTTATCAATTTTATGCCGTGGAAACTATCCTCGTATCGGGGAACCTATTTCGGTGGAGGCACAGATGGTGTTTTGGCAGTTGCTGTTCACTTCGACAACCCCCTATGAAGAATTTGAAACACGGGGACCGCTTTCGCCCATGCACTGGAGAATTAAGTTCTAGGAATGCAGTGTTTGTGCATTCTCGTCAATTAAGGGCAGTATTGTTTTGGTCATTATAACAAAACAAATAATGTTTTAACGTTTACATATTTGGAGCAGCTTTTAAATCATTATTTTGTTCATACGTCATTATGGTTAAGCTGCATGCCTTTATAAAATACAGGCTAACTGGCGGTGAAACAGGGCAAATCATTTTCATAATTTATATTTATTTACCATATGTACCTGTTACACTTCATGGGTTCTCCTTATGATTTGTCTTTCTGATGTTCAGTAAATACATATTATGGAAATAATAGTATTTATGTCGAAACTGTTTTCCATGTAATTATTTAACCTGTATCGTTTCCCCGATTATGATACCCCCTTTTCATGGAGAGAATTATCAGTTGTCTCGGCGAATGAAATCTCACTTGCGTACTTAATCTACATGCATCTACAGTCATTCACTCATTGTTCCATTTGAATATTCTGCAGCTGCATCAAAATTGTGAATTTTATATGACTGTTCGATTCTGCAATTTTATCCATCCTGTTTACATTACTGGAGTTAATAACTTGCCTGATCGTGGAACCTGTTTACGCATAATTTATGGTATCCTGGTTGGTTTAGCGAATTATTGTTTACACTTGAAATATTGGTTTGTTAACAAACACATGCACGTGTTGAATCAATTCAGCAGATGAAACTTTCTCAGATGGTATAGGCCTATCTATGATAATTACTGAATTAGACATTTCTATACAGTGTGCCATTTATAATCGTTCCTCATTAGAACATTGTTTTTTTTTCTACTTATGGGAAATATATGTTGTGTCATTGTGATTTGAATGCATTTCAATCTTCTGCATTATTCAGTATGCAAATCTGAGAAAATAAAATAAACAGAGTGCAATAGATTATCTACACTAAATGTGTCAAATGGGTTAACGCTCAATTAACCTGTCCGCTGATCTACACATGTTTGTATGTTTGTTTGTTTTTATGAATCTGTGTTCAAGGTCAACTGGGTCACCACGGGATGTCAGCTGCAGTATCGTGGATTGTACTCTGGCCTCAACAGGGGGTTCTCGGGGAGTCTCTCCTATCCTCTCTGATCCTGGCTTTGGATGGAGTCCACCTGCAGTAAACTTCATTCTCTGTCCAGCCTATGAGGAATGTTCTTTTGCTTGTGCATTTTATCATCTTTTCAAAGAAATAAGACCAGTACACTATTTTATGTTCTATATTATTATTTTTATATAGCCTTAATTAAATTATGCTCAGCTCAGAGCTATATAAAAAGTTTTCTACTGCTCCTTACAATACTTTGCATATCCAGTTAACAATTTAACACTTTACAACTTACAAAATTGTTATGCAAAATAATCTGAATCCTCACGTCATAAAAATATTACGTTACCATTTCCCCGCAAGCACTTTCTAGCAGGGTACAAGTTTCTTTAAAGTTTAGCGTAAATAATATCATGACGTAATCTTTTAATTAAAAAATAAAATTTTCTTATTTTAAGAGATTAAATAAGTATGAAATAGTTGAAATTTGGCAATAAATTAAAGATTTAATGAACTTTTTAAAGTGCGTGAAAATGCGTGATTGCGGGGAAACGGTAAATGCGTGATTTTGCGTCAGAAATAGGAAATGGTATATGCGTTAAAATGCGTGACTGCGGGGAAGGGGGTTAAAGAATGTTTAACACAGTTTCTCTAATGATGCGAAGATATCAATGAAGTTGATAATCATTTTTTGCACCATTAGAAACAGGGAACATTTGGTAATTGCCATATATCTGAAGACATGTTAAGTTTATTTACTAGCTGCCTTACATATAATTCTTAAGAGACATTGTTATCCCTATAAGGAAGACTCGGCAATTTTAAAATGTATTTTTATGTTCAGCAAAATCCTTATTAGTGGGTTTTGCAACATTCAATATATCGTTTCTTTTTAAGCTATAAGTAGAAATATTGGGAGAAAAATGGTTCAGAAAAAAAAATAAAATAAATAAAATAAATAATCTGAATCAGGGAAATGTTTTAA